TTTTTTTTTTTTTTTTTTTGCATTTCATTAACAGTACCACAATCCATTTCCTCAGCATCCATAGCCGCTGATTGAGCTTGTTTAGGAGTGTATTAATATCATTTTTGGACGGTCAATAAGATAGAAAATATTTAAAAAATATTTTATTATTTGATTAAAGAAAAAGTGTGAGGAAAGAAAACTCAATGAAATAAAAATTTTCAAAATTCTCTCTTCGAGCTTTCGTTTCAATTTCAATTTTTAATTTTATTTTTCTCAATTTATTTCCTTCCAATGCATTTTCTCTCCTCTTACGTAAATAAAGTGAACGGAGGGATAATGGGATGAACAATCATCCATTTCCCTCTTCATGATCAATTCATGTGATTTTTTTTCCTCGTCTTTCTTTGTTTTTAATTATATCACGTGTAAATAAATCTCTCTTAGGGAAGAGATGGATCTTATACAGACTTGATGTATACTTGTATTAAAATTTAATTACATTTTTTTAATAATCCATCTTTGTTCGTTCTTGATATTTTCTGCTTTGGTTTACATATTGATGTAGTATCTCAACTGAAAAATTGGATTATGATGTGCTAATAATTTGATCGCGTTGACTAAATATAGATCTAGATATATAATATATTAATTCTTGTAGTTGTCGAGCAATTTATAGTTATATTCTTCTTTTGTTATCAATAACTTAAATAAGAATTTGTCAGTTACGGACAGCATAAAAGTATTAGTTGAATTTATTATTAGGGAGCTAAAGAAATTCAACCTTAATCGGAAGCTTAAGAAATTATATTTAAATTCAGATTTGGCGTAATTCATGATAGGTAAATAAATGAAGTTGAAACCTCCTATTTCTCCTCGCAACTTTTGTTGATTTAGTCATTTCGTTGATTATTTTTATTTTCGTTGTTTTATTACACTCTTTGATTCGAAATCAATCCATTTAACAAATATATAAATAGTGTCCGAGTGGTTGATAACCAACATTCAGAGGTACCATTTTCGTTGCTACATGTTGGATGCTTTGGAAAGCTAGAATATCGATCTTCGGCCAGGATAAGATATGGAACGGGTGGCATGTTGTTAATCAAATCCAAAACTCTACTATATCATGGCTGCTCTCTACTAGAGTTTGTAAAGTATCTACCAGTCTTAAAGGATAAATGTTTGCCATGCTGTATGTTGATGGTTTTCAAGTTATCATATGAGAATTTGATTTAATATCGCTTCGGATTTGATTCAGAAGAACCTCGATGATTTTTTTTGTTCTTACTACAATATATAGGTGATTTAGCAAACTTGAGTATTGGTTTTCTTTCCTTCATTCCTCAACTCTACCAAAAAGACATCATGCTCAAGTGAAAATTGATATCACAAGTGAATAATGAATTAGTTCCAAAAAGTGTACATGTAACCCCTTAAATATATGTAAAAAAACGTTTTCTAAGATGGGATATTTAAATAAATAAATAAATTAGTAATAACAAATATAATAATAAATAATAGAGTAATTACTTTGTAATTGTCAAGCAAATCAGGCCATTATGATCCAATAAAATATAAATTAGGAAACATGCATGTAGTAAAATTCTTGTTGTGTCTTTTGCCTCTCTATATGTATTTAGTAAATGATAGTATTCATGAGCTAGTAGTACAGTTCATGAATTCAGATGAGTTAACCTCCAAGATCGGTTGCCACATCCTTTCTCTACTTTAAATTATCATTTAGTCAAAATAACAAAATTTGAGCAAGGTGTGTCCACCCAATAAATGCACAACTTGGGCTAGCCAAGTAAATGTTAGCTCAAGTAATACATAAGTTCTTTTAAGCTTTGAAATGAGTGAAGGAGATGAAAAGATGACATTTTAGAAATTGAGCTCTAGAAGTCAAAAAGTTTACCACACACTTTGTAACTATTTGTGCCACAATGATTTCCCTCTAGTTTTCAAAATTTGAAAAAGGCGAAACCAAAGGAGTGCGAGATCATAATGTAACGACTTGATAGATCATTACACTTAGTATAACACAATTACTGCATAATTATCATACTAGAAACAACGACTAATACAGTGGTCAGATTGTTTTCTCATATTTTTCCACTTAAACTATGAAAGTCTAATACTATTGTTAAGGTAAAATAACTTGGGTGTGAGCCTACTACAACCTTAGTATGCATAACTAAGTCTTTTATGAGATTAACTTGCTGACTATCCTCTGAGTACTACATACTTCTCTAGTATTTGGTTAAGGATTTTAACTTTGACTTTTATGTCTTAGTCAATTGGTCCTTTTATACATCTATGGATCTACTTGATCGCCATATGTTTCCATACAAAGCCTAGAGAACTTAAAAAATCTTCTCATTTAAGAGCCAACTACTCACTGGAAGTTTATTACTTTGACCTCTTTGAATACCAAATTGATATCCGCACAATGGGATATGAAAACTTTAAAAAAAAATATTTTTCTTCTCCTCTATTTTTTATGTATCTCAACTGAGACATGTATCACACACCACATGTCTAAATAACTTAACAACTCTAAACATTTATCAACTTT